AAGTCACCAAAGCTGACAAAGTCATCTCCCTGCAAAAGGGACTCACTCTAAAAGGGGCCAAGAGGAGAGCATGCTTCACCCTACTGGCTGACTCACTCCTGGTGGGACTTTGGGAAGCAGGGGCAGGGGCGCAACATTAATGGGCAGTGACCAGCTAGGCTCTTGTGTCCTATGACAGGTGTGGATACTTCTCTGGCAGCCCTCAAAATCAAGGCAGCAGATGGGATCCAGGAGTGAGAAGTCCACTCCATGGCTGGGGGCAGGGCAGCTCTTTGGACACAAACATGGTCAAACAGAACCGGTAGCCAGAGGTCACCAGTGCCCTGAACCCAGTCCCCAGTGTCCACACCTGCAGGGGCAAAGGGGGGAAAGGTATGGACAGAACCACCTTTTCCGTTGGAACAGTGCAGGGCGCCCCCTCGTGGGCAGGCAGAGCCTGCAGGCCAGGGAGTCAGCTGATGAACTGTCATCTTCATCAAAGTCATACCTACTCGTTAAAGACAGTTCACTAACTAGAACAGAGCATGCTGACTCCTGGAGGCAACCTCGGAGCCTTCTGGCGGATTTCCTGCCAGCCCTTTTTTTGCAGTTTTCCTTTTTATAGTTTTTCTCTGAAAGCAGTTTATATTTCATCGTTTATCCTGCTTTCTTTATAAGCATTTTCCAAACCCTTAAAAACCCCTCATAAATATTTTAATGGCTCTGTTGTCATTCATCCAATGGGTGTAACATCGTTTAGGGAACCAGAGCATCAGTGTTGAAGGTTTCACTTGTTCCAGTTTTTCACTGTCATAAACAATGCCATAATGAATATCCTAGGACAGCCCTTTGGTCCACATCTCTGGTCATTTTTAGGATGGTCGCTCAGAAATAGATTTGCTGAGGGGAAGGAATGGATTTTTTTTTTTTAGTTTGAAAGCTTACTGCCAAGTTGCACTGTAGAAATACAGTAGGAAATATACCTGCTCAGCCCTCACTCCCAGCAGCCTCTGAGAGTGTACCCCTTCTCCACACCGGCCCAGTTGGCCTTCACCAGCAATAAGAGGTGGAAGGATTGCAGAGTTGGCAGTGCCCTCAGAGTTACCTGGTCCAACTGCTTGACCAGGTCATAAGTCCTCTTGGCAACTGCCCTGGTAGTCAGTTGTTCACCCAGCTTCTGCTTACATACCCCCAGTGACAGGGAGTTCACCATCTTACAGCCAACGACCAGAAATCTCATGAGTTGGTGGAAATAAAATTCTGAAGAAGTGCCCAGATAGTGTCAGCATCATCTGCATCTCCTCTCAAGATGCTGGCCTGCCTAGATGGCTCCTCCCTTCCCCCACCCAGCTCTGCTTTCACGGCTCCTTGGCATAGGGCCTCCTTCCTACTCCCACGCCAGCCACCACCTCCCACTTCCCAGGCTGCCCCTCATGGCTATTCTAGCTTTGCTTTGGAGGCCAGGGGATCTAATCCCTCCTCCCAGATCAATTCCCAATTTGCTATGTGTCCTTGAGCAAGTCCCTTGATTCTCTGGTCCCCAAAGGGCCTATCTGTGCTGGCAGAGGTGGTTTCTGAGCCCCAGTGAGCTTTGCCCAGGCTCTTGGCAGATCTAATTCCCCAGAGGGGTACGTGGCTGGGGCCCGGGTCAGGAGAGCCTGGTCGGACCTGGCATCCTTCCCAGCTGAGGCGGGTGGCGGCCCCTGCAGAGCCATCAGCAGTAACCGTCTGTTTCATGCTGTTTATGAGAAGAGACTTTGCCTTTCTGGGAGGAGGCAGGGGGACGGTGTGGGGGGTAGAGAAGCCTTTGTTCTGTCAAAAATTCCTGCCCCCTTTGGCCCTGCCCTTGTCCGAAAGCATAAACAATGTTGGGACCGAGCCTTTCCAGGAAGCGGCTCCTCGCCTCCATTACCCCTGCCCAGGCCACGTCTCTCCTCTGACCTGCAGGAGGGCACAGCCACTGGGTTGGGCTGAGCTGGGGGTCCCGGGGCCTGGTGTATTTCTCCTTCTAAGCACAGGCCTCAGCCTCAGGATGGAGACGCTCTTGGGAGTGATGGAAAAGATGAACCAAGTATAACCCACTGGGCCTAGTCTCCTGCTCCTCACACACTGGAAACTCTTCAGCAAGTCCTGCTCCCTCCCCAGACCTCAGTCTCAACATCTGGTAAATGGGTTGATGATATTCCCTGCCCCACAGGGTTATGAGAAGAGGTGAACGGGGGCTTACAGGATATGGGGCCCTGAGCACAGAGCCAGCGCACACAGTGCTTCATAGATGTCTGCTCTTCGCTCTCTCCTTTGTCCTCTGGCAGCAGAACCTGCAGAGCCTCTGCAGCCTTCCTCTGTCTGGGTCCCTGCCTGAGAATCCCAGAAGGCAAAAACACCTAATGCAGCCCCCTTTTCGCTTGCCAAGTCCCCCAAAGCCCAGGGAGAGCAAGCCCACCTCTACCCGGGCCTCCCCCCATCTTGGGAACTTTCCTCTTACGATTTGCACCCACTGGTCTCAGCCCTGGCCTCCCCATCACCTGGAACATGTCTGCTCCCTCTCCGTGTATAAAGCCCAGGAGAGAATGGCGCTGAAATCGCTGACAGTAACTGAGCACTTGCAGTGTTCAACCAGCGAGCTCAGACCTTCGTGTGCATGAAAGCATCCCTTTCTTCCAACAGCCCTGGGCGGCAGGCCCTTCATCATCACCCTGGGTGTCCAAATCAGGAAACCGAGGCACACAGAGGTCCAGTGACTTGCACACTGTTCTACATGTGTTATCTCATTTAATCCTGAGAGCGCACTTATGTGGTAGTACCTATGGTTTTCCTTGGGAAGTAACTTGCTCAAAATCACTGGCTAGTGATTTTGGATCCAGAGTCTGTGCTCTTAACTTCTGTGCACTGCTTCATAAGTGAGCAGTTACCTGGGCAAACGTTACTATGGAAACAGGTCACCTCAAGCCCAGTGCTTCTTAGACTCAATGGCGTGTGAACCCCCTGGGCCTCTTGTTAAAATGCAGATTCTGAGTCAGTATAGATCAGAGGTGGGGCCTATGATTTTGCATTTCTAACAAGCTCCTAGGGAATCTGCTGAGGCCAGTCTAGGAGTCACAGTGGGGAACCTGTGCTCAAGCTGGTCTCAGACTCAGAGCCTGCACATGTCATGCAGGTGACACAGTGCAGGGAGCAGCTGGTCAGAACAGGTGGCATCAGTCTGAGGAGGTGGCTGCTTGACAACTTCAGCTGATAGACCCCATAAGAATTCTGGACCAATGTGGTCATGTCTCTAGGTGGAATCTTTCATGTTTAAATATTGGGGCAACTAATTCAACTTTATGAAACACTGTGGAGCTTGTACATGACTGTTCACAGCAACATCACTCCCAACAGCCAAGAATTAGAAACAACTCAAAGGTCTAGCATCTCATGAATAATGTACATAAAACATGGTGCGTTCATACAACGGGCTACTTTTCAGCAACAAAAATGAATGAAGTATTGGTAAATGCCACAGCATGGATGAACCTTAAAAACATTATGCCCAGTAAATGAAGTCAGGCACCAAAGGGCCTTATCGTATGATCCCACTTATATGGAATATTTAGAGTAGGGAACTCATTAGAGTCAGAGAGTAGATTAGGGGTTGTCTAAGCCTGAGTGGAGTGAGGAGGTGGAGGTAGGGTGGGGATTGACTGTTGATGGGCACAGTGTTTCTTTAAGGGTGACAAAAATGTTCTAAAATTAAATTGTAGTGATGGTTGTATAACTCTGTGAATATACTAAAAACATTGAATTGTACACCTTAAATGGGTAAAATGTAGAATCATGTCTCAATAAAGCTACTTAAAAAGCACCATGTAGGAGAAAACTAGTTTCTTTAATATATAAAGTGCAGTTACAAATCACCAAGAAAAATGCCAAACCCCAGCAGGGAAAAAATTTACAAAGGATTTGCACTAACAGTTCATAAAGGAAATGCGGGTGGCTCTTAAATGCATGGGGAACATCTCTTTCATAATAGAAGACAGACTAGTCAAAGCTACTCTGAGAAGATTGTCTGCCTCTTAGATCGGCAATGATGGAAACTGTTGGTGAGGGTATGGGAGGTTAAGCTGGTACACCTTGGCCAGGGCAGTGGCAATTTGTTGTTACCTTTAAAAATTAAAAGTGTACATACCAATTTTATTTCTAGATTTATCCCACAAATGTTCGTTCTCTCTCTCTCTCTCTCTGACAGACACACACACACTCTCACACACAGTTGTTCACTGGAGCCTTGTTTGTAACAGTGGAAGAGTGGAAACCACCCAGCTGTTCTGTCACAGGGACCGGCAAACACTGGAGCTGCGTGCATGTGAACACTGTGCAGCTGTCAAACAGAAGACAGTAGCTCTGATTGTCCTGATGTGGGGGAAGGATATTTTATTATACCTGTCTTACAATAATATGTCCAAGACGCATGGCTAAGTAAAAAAAAGAAAGATGCAGAACCAATATAATGTTTCTATATGAGGGAAGGGGGAAAAGCATGTGTGTGCATATGTTACACATGTTTGTAAATGTGGAGTGTGTCTTCGGGTGGAAATAAGATTGCCTCCAAGGAGAGGAGAGGGTGGCTGGGAGCGGGGTGAGGGCAGACCCAGTTCCACTTCATGTGTACCAGGCTGTACGGTGCCTGGGTTGCCTCTTCGATGCCATTTAAACCAGCCCACTGTGTGGGCCAGAGAGCACCTGTGTGCAGGTTCACGCCTCTGTGCAGCCGAGTTACGACTGTAACTCCCAGCCACACCAAGTACTTTGCTCCTTTAAATCTGAAAAAGGTATGTACCCCCCCACCTCCTCTGTTCTCTGTCCCCCAGCCTTGGATTCCCGGATGTGCTCTGGGGTGACCCTGGTGTTCTCTGGATTGGGGACAGAGTGCTTGCATACAGGACACAGGATGAGCACTGAAGAAGGAGGCTGTGGAGCCCCTGTGGGGGCAGCACTTTGGCCTGGTGGACCCCAACCCCCTGTGTTTGCTTCCTGTCCTGCAGGCACGCCCCAAAGGTGAGGGCCTGACCCCATACCAGGGCAAAAAGCGCTGCTTCGGCGAGTACAAGTGCCCCAAGTGCAAGAGAAAATGGATGAGCGGGAACTCCTGGGCCAACATGGGGCAGGAGTGCATCAAGTGCCACATCAACGTGTACCCGCACAAGCAGGTGAGCGGGCGGGGCGGGGCGCAGGTGCCGTGGGAACAGTGCAGCGGCGGGTCTCCCGAGGGCCAAGGGAGGGTGACTCTGTCCCCTCCTCGGCCTCCTCATGACAAGGACGAGACCAGATCCCTCCAAGTCAGCTCTTTCTTTCCTGCCTCATCTGAGATGAGGGTGAGAGGGCGCCGTTGCCCTGGGGAGAGGAAGAGAGTGAGGGGCAGTGTACCAAGCCCCTGAGACCGCAGACCACAGGTAAATTTAGAAAGTTATGAGCTGCAGTGCTGTTGGGAGACAGAGAGGGGTGCGAGGGCAACGGATGCTGTAGAGAACGTGCGTTTTGTTCATTTTTTATCCAGTTGACTCGTGTATGGGGCAGCTGCTGTGTGCCAGGCTCTGTGCACAAGGCTAGTGGCCAAGACACCCGCCGGGCTGCCCCGGTGGGAAGGGGTTGAGGCAGCTGGCCCCAGGGAGGGCCCACTCATTGCAGGCTGCAAGGAGGGGAGATATTTACTCTGGGGCCTGAAGGAGGAAAGGAAGCTAGATCTTTCACAAGTGGGGGACGGCCATCCTGGGAAGAAGGAGGATAGAGCAGGTGCAAATGTCCTGAGGACATAGGACTTGGGGTGCTCCAGGTGCAAAGCTCAGTGAAGGAGCAGGAGAGTGGAGTGAGAGGAAGGAGCGGGAGCTGAATGACACCCAGTAGAGCCACGGGGGCCACGAGAGGAGACCCCTGAGCAACAGGCTTTCTGCTTCATTTTGAAGTGATTAATCTGGTTGTGTGTAGAGATTCATTTCAGGGGGACGGGGAGCTGAGAGATTGAAAATGGGGAAACCAGTAGGAAAGCCATGGCCATAGTCCCATGTGAGCTGGATGAGGTCTGAATTAAGGAGGTGCCTCCAGATCTGGATTCCATACAAAGAATCACCGGACTGGATATGGAAGGTGGGGGAGAGAAGGGGATCCAGAACAATCACACTTGGGCTTGAGCCCCTGAGTGGGTGGAGGTGGTCATTACTGAGGTGAGCAGCCTGGACCGGGGCGGGGCAGTGTGGGACACAGGTGTTCTGGATAAAAGCAAAGTTCTCTGATACACATGTGACATTTGAGATGCTCCTGAGAATCCAAGTTGAGATGTCACAAAGGCCATGCCGTTCTGAAGCTCAGATGAGAAGTCGGGGTGGTTTCTACATAGCTGGGTATCGCTAACCTAAAGGTGTTTAGGGACCGGATGAGATTTCCTGCAGAATGTGGACAGAGTAGAGAAGGGATTCCCAGGCCACAAGTTACGATCCCAGCATTCAGGGGTCAGATGGAGGAGAGGAACCCAGCAGGGAGAAGAATCGGGGAGCATAGAGTTCAGGGGAGCACCGTTCGAGAAGACAGGTGGTGGTTGGTGTTAAGATGTCAGGTGTAATGACCATGGAGAAGTGCCCTTGAAATTTGGCCATGAAGAGGTGTTCCACCAGCCTCATGGGGCATCCTTTTACAGGAAAACTTGCTGAACTATAGCCACAGTGTGAGAACCACTGGAGCTGGTGCCCTGCAGGTCAGGTGAAGGCAGAGCGGGGATGTTGGTCCACAGCGGACCTGCTGGTGGGTAACGTCCAGGAGCCGTGACGGAGGCGGCTTCTTGGGCCCACCTGAGAGGGAACACCGTCTTTGTCTACTCTCTCAAGGGGGTTCGATTGTGGAGAGAAGCAGGCAAATGGGACAGTAGCTGGAGTTGGGAAGGTGGCATTAGGGTGGCTCTTAGGGAGATGGAGAGCCTGGGGCATATTACAGGCAAATGAGAATGATCCAGAAGAAAGCAAAAGGCTGGTGATGCAGGGGCAAGAGGTGATGCCTCTCGCTGGCCAGGACGGAAGGAGGTGGGTAATTAGGAAGATTGATGGGTTTGATGGTGCCCAGAAGAGGCACCATTTCCAAGTCTTCCGTTTTCTCAGTGAATGGGACATGAGGTTTTTAGCCCAGAGTCAGGGTGAGGAGTGTGGCCGGCTGAAGAAGGACAAGTGATGGAGGGAGCGGGAGAAACTCGCCGGAGTGCCGGCCCAGGGGAAGTTTGATCCTAACGTAACCAAAGCCATGAGCCCAGTTCTGTGACCTTCTCCAGCTGGGCTCACTGGGCAGAGCGGGCAAGAGAGGTGAGTGGGGTGCCCGGGGCAGAGGTTTGTTGGGGCCTGTTTCGGAGAGGAGGAGATGAAGAGTCAGGCGTATTTAGACAGGTGGGGTCATGCATGACCCCGGGGGCCGGCCTATACGGCAGGAAGGGAAGCCTGAAGGGCCCTGGTGGGAGGTGGCGCCAGGACTGGGTGGAGGCCAGGGCGCCGGTGAGCTGGACAGAGGAGTTTCTGAAGAGGACCTGGTTGGGGGGTGGTAGGAGAGAAGGTCGCTGTTGATGAGGCAGCCGGGGCACCGAGGAGAAGGGTGGCGAGGCTTCCTGTGTAAGCCAGGCCACCAAGAAGAACAGCAGCAGAGAGGTGAAGGGGGCCGAGGGGAAGGGAAGCAGGGCGTGGGGCGGCGGACACTGAGGGCACTTGGTGAGGGCTCCCCCAGGCAGTGCTGTCAGGCTGAGCCCCGATGGGCAGCGGAGGTCCCGGGCTAAGGGGCTGGGTGGGGGCCGCAGCAGGTGCAGAGCAGGGGCCCTCAGGCACAGAGCCGGAGGAGCTGAGGGGCGAGGCCGAGTGCGGAGGAGGGGCGCCGGCTGGCGGGAGGCCCTGGCAGAGGGTCTGGGCCCTGTCCCTCTGGAAGGGCGAAGAGAGGATTCTCACGGAGAAACGCTCTGTGCCTTTATGACCCTGGTGCTGGCCTCCACTTCCTGTTTGCAGACTCTCCATCCCCACCCCCAGGTTTTCGTGGTTCCCATCACCCGCACTGTCACTGTCACACGCAGGCAGGCAGACCGGAGACTGGCCATGGAGGACCCAAGGACGAGAGTCAGGCCCGCATCCTAACATCCTCGGGGCACTGAGGGACAGGCCCGATGACCCAGGGGCGGTGGGCAGAGGGCGCATGAGGTGCACTGTGTTTGGGAGTGTGCCCCGGGGATGGAATTGGGGGGCCGTCTAGAGGAGACTGCATCCTAGTTCCTGAGGCCTCCCCGGTGATTCCTGACAAGGCCGGGACCCCAGTCCGAAAACACCACTCACCACGTCTGACGGTCCGGCCGCTCGCCCTTTGGCTGAATTCTGCTCTCCCAGCCCTTGGGCTTGGCTGGTGCTATCAGAAGGCTCATTCTTCCCCGCATGGGAAGGGACACACTTCGCTGGGGGCTCTCGCCAGGTCTGTGTAGGCGCTGAAAGAAGATGAAGGTCAGGGGCTGCGTGGCGGCCCAGGAGCTTCCTCTCCAACGGAACTGCATTCAGCCAGACAGGTTAGCCACCGGCGTTCGGAGAAATCCTGGCCCCGATCGCAGGTGTGGTCACCCTCCAGGTACCGTGTGCCATGCCCCTGCACTTCACCTGTGCCCTGCCCTCCACCGGGGGTCTGTTCATCCCCATTTCATAGGGAGAGAAACATGGTCCTGAGAAGCCATGTGGACTCTCCAGGGTCCCAAGGTGGAAATACAGCCTCGGAGTTGAACTTGCCTTTGTCAGGAGCTGCCCTGGGGCACACAAGCCAGGTTTGTGTCCCAGCTCAGCCTCCCATGAGCTGGACCAAAGTCCCCTATTCCTGATGCAGGAGAGAGGAAGCAGGGCCCCACAGGCAGATTTCAGTGACCGGAGGGCCAGCACTGGGGAAGGTTATGACAGCAGCGGGTGGTGGCCAGGTGCTGCTCTGAGTGCCTTACAGCTTCATCCTCTCAGCCACACCATGAGGTCAGCTCTGTTGTTTCCCCATTTCACAGAGGAGCAAACTGAGGCAAGGGGTGCAAGTGACTTACCCAATGTCAGCAGGGAAGAGGGATCAAGTTTGGGGCTGCAAGGGCCAGATGAGTAGCCTGGGTGGGGATCAGGGGGTCAGGGAGGACAGGTCACAGTGGCTGGCAGGGCAGGGGAGTGGGAATGGATCAGTTCCTGCAGGAGCTCAGAGGGACAGGTGCTTGGGTCTGTGCTGGGCATCTGGGAGGCTGGCCTTGAGACTTTCACACCCTCTGTGACTTAAGCGGAGAGGCATGACCCATGTCCCAAGGCTGGTGGGACCCGACTTCCTGCGGTGGCTCCAGCTCCTAGGCTCCTGTCCCTATATTGCCCTAGCAACCCTTCCTCCAGGCCGGGCCCATTCCTGGCCTGTACCACCATGCCCAGGCCAGCAATGGCCTCATCTGCTTCCTCGTTTGTTTCTATCCTTCCAAGCTCAGTCCAAGCACCGCACCCTGACCACCCTTCTCCCATTTCCATAGCCAGGATCAGAGTCTCCCAGGCCCAGTGTGGAAGGGTCTTCCAAGAGCATGTGGCACTGCTCCCCCGCAACCCAATCATGACCCCTCGTTGGCTGAACACTTGCTGTGCATCCGGGAGACTGAGGCCCAGGCAGGATAGGGAACTTGAGCAAGGTCACTCCGCCAGCCAGCATCAAAGGGGCCTAAGGCCCAGGGCTCCCATCCCCCAGGCTCCTTTCACAGGGTCTTCACCCTCAGGGAGGCTGCAGACCCCGCAGAGGTCTGAGGGGCAGTGTCGGGAGCTAGTGAAGAGCTGAGAGGAAGGGTTTGGAGTCCCGGCTCCTGTGGTGGAGAGGAGCTGCTTTCTTTCTGTGCCCCCTGAGCTCTGACCTCTGGGGCAGCCATCTCCTGAGAACCCTCCTCTTCCCCATCCTCCCCTGCCACATCTGTTTTCTGTCAGGCTCCAGCTGAGCCGCCCCCACCCCCTGCCAGCCCTGCCCCCCACAGAAGAAAACACTGGGGGGCTTTGCCTCACTGCAGGGGTGGGAATGGCCCTGGGGCGATCAGTCCCAGCTGCTGCCTGTTTTCCCTCCGTGGAGGGGAGTCGTCTTGACAGCTTCCCCCAGCTCCTTCCCCCCAGGCAGGGCTGAGCCAGGACCCAGGGGAGAGGGGAGGGGAAGAGGCACTGACAGGGTCACAGCCAAGGGGGATGGAGAGGATATTGCAGGGGCAGTTCCACAGGGACTGAGCTGGTTCCCTGCCCCCAGCCTGCCCCCAGCCCTACATAACACTAATAGTAATAATATATGATGTTAATACCGGCCAACACTTTGCCCTTTACATGCCAGGCACTGTCTTAACAACTTTGCATATATCAGTTTATTCACTCTTCACAACAACCCTATCAAGTAGGTACTCTTACTAGCTCAGTTTTACAGAGGAGAAAATTGAGGCCCAGAGAGGTTAAGTGACGTCCTAAAGGTCACACAGCAATGATGAATCTTGCAGAGCTCTTGGCCACCAGCCCTCAGCAGGTAGGTGAAGCTGCAGGCCCCTGGGTAAGACCCTTAGAATCTTGGATCCCCTGTTTCCTCATCCGTAAGGCAGATAGTCATATGCCCCCGCAGGAAGGGTGTGAGGGTAGATGCTATGATTCGTGTGGCAACGCTTTGCAGAGCATAAACCATGGGGAGCATGAGGGTACCAGGCCTGCTTGCTCTGGCCCCTCTGGTCCCACCTGGGAGATCCATTCAGAGAAGGGGCCCTGACCAGCATGAAGAGGGGGAGGGGAGTGGAAACAAGGCTGGATTTGGTGAGGGAAGGGGAGACTTCTGTGTGACTGCTGTGTGGCTGGGATCACTAGGATGGGAGTCCAGGGACCCAGATGTCAGTTCAAGATTGGGAAGCCCTTCTTACAGCTCAGGCAGTGAGCTGAGCCAGGGAGCTCAGCTGGCTGGCAGGGCTTGTAGGCCATGACCTTGGGTGTTATAGGTGTCTGTTGAGATGTCTGGAAGGGTAGGGCATGTGACCTTCCTAGGCCTTGCAGCTTGGAATCCTGACTTCAACTTTGACTCTCTACTACTGCTATCTCCCTCCCATTAATAATAATAATTAGCATTAATAGCTTCTATATGCTCTCTTTCTACTCCTGATCTTCACTGAGTTGGAACAGCAGTCTCATGAGAAAAGTGTCATAACATCCCCTTTTACAGATGGGGAAGTAGAGGGTCAGAGGTCAGGTGGCCTGCTCAGGGTCACTCAGCATGTGGGTAGCAGAGCTGGTGTTCCAGCCCAGGTCTGACATGGAGCCAAACTCTGTCCCCTCTCCTCTGGCCAGGAAAGCTGATCACCTGTACGCCCTTTGAGGGGAGGCCAAAGCTCCTGTCCTTTATCCAGTCCGTCCCTGTGTGGCCTTAGCCTGGAAGTACAAGGATGGGCTTTATGTCCCTGGATCAAAACCCTGCCCACCCACAGTCCCCATACTCATCTCCCAGAGCCCGCTGCCTCCCCATTCCTGAGCTGCTCGCTCTTAGTGTCACCCTGGGGCCAGGCACTGCATCATTGGGCAGAAAAGGCAATAGTCCATTTTTGAGCAGCCTGCGGTCTAGCCAGGGGGGCAGCGCTCACCCTCAGTGTCCTTCCAGGACCATCCTTGGTCATGGTCACTGGCTCTGAAATTCCCTGCCCCACCAACAGCCTGTAGCTCCTGCCCCCTGTCCTCGGCATGTGGCTCTCAGCTGGCTCTGACTAGCTTCCTCTGATCCCCTCAAATCCGTGCAGGGAACCTTCTGCAGGCAGGGGTTCTGGGTTGGGACTGTGCCAAGAAGCTGCCTCAGGAGGCACACCTAATAGCATCCATAAATCGTCCAAGGAGACAAGGCTTGGCTGGCTTTTGAGAGCCAGGGAGGGAGGAAAAGAGGGAGCAGGGAAGCTCCCCTTATAACAGGAACGTGCCTAACACTGCTCAGTTTACAAATACCGAGACATTTGAATCTTCCCAGCACCCTGCAAGCGAGGCGTGATGATGGCCCACTTCGCAGATGTGAAAACTGAGGCTCCCTGAGGTCGCAGGGAGGTTCCGTTCATATAACCACTCAACAAACATGGCAGATGGTGTGCCTGGCCCTGGGATGCGGGGGACTCAGGGTACTACCTATTTACCCCTCTCGGAGCTGAGGGATCACTTCTCCCAAGCTGAAGAGCTGTGACCGTGTCCACACTGAACCCTCCTTGAGTCCTGAGGCCACGAGAGTAAGGCATGGGAGTGACAGCAGCCAGGGAGGAAGCACTGGGGGCTGAGGGAGGAGGTGTCCGCTTGGTCTCCCTTGCTCTGGGCCTTGGCTTCCTTACCTGGATAAGGTCTGTGCGCCTGTCCTGCCTCTATCCCGGGCTTTTGTGAGCTTCAGGTGGTGGCTGCTCAGACAGTACGGGGACAGTACAGGCTCTGGGTATGGGACCCCCTCCCCCAGCCCTGGCCCCAGCCCAAGGCCTCAGCCTGTACCTCCGGGGACAGCGAGAGGCAGGAAAGGTCCTGGTGCCTCAGGAAACAGCCTCTGTGACTGCCGCACACTCTCTCTCTGGACCCTCCCTGTCTCCCCGCCGCCCCTCTGCCTCCCTCCCTCCATTCACTCTGTGTTTCTGTCTTTCTTGCTGGCCCCTCCTCTCCCCACCTTGAGCCTTCTCCCTCCTTCCTCTCCCCAGAGGCCCCTGGAGAAGCCCGATGGCCTGGACGTGTCTGACCAGAGCAAGGAGCACCCGCAGCACCTGTGCGAGAAGTGCAAAGTGCTGGGCTACTACTGCCGCCGAGTGCAATGACTGCCATCCACACCGCCACCCTCCTCCGGCCAGAGAAGACCCACCCCCCACGTCTGTCCATGTTGCTGCGTGTTCCCATGTGCGTGGGGGTGTCCTCACGGGCATGAGGGTCTGGGCAGGGGTCTTAGGTTCTTGTCTCATGCATGTTGACAAACAGTGTTACTGACATAGCTGCCCCGCAGAAGGCCCGGTCTCTGGGACTCTATAGGTGGGCCTGGGGTCTGTGGAGGGGATGGGGTGAGCAGAGGTCCATGCACAGGACCCCACAAAGCCCTTGGGGTCCCCCGCTGGCTCTCCTCCTCTAAGACTCCCTTTGGTGAGCAGCCTTGTATTGGCCACAAGTGCACTAAATTTACTGTGAATCCCAAAGTCTGTACGGGGTTGTTTCCCCAAGACCAGCCAGGATGCCTTCTCCTGCCCATGGCCCCCGGTCTGCCCGTGTGCAAAGCCACACTCAGAAAGGCCCGTTTCTATGTCCCGTTTAAGTCTGCGGTAATGGCGGGCTGATACCTGTTCTAGCAGCTGCTGGGAGTGGGTGTCTCTGCCCCTTACCCACTCTGAGCCCCAAACTTGATCGCCTCTGATGTCACTGGTATTGCAGCCGGGTTCTGCATCCCCCCTCCCCAAAGACCCAGAGGTCAGGGACAGGAGGCAGTAAATGTCCGACAGTGTCCCAAGGTGTGACCCAGACATCGCCTCCCCCACCCACCATCACACACTTTTCCCACTTGCTTGGATTTGTCAGCTGCATTCCCTCCCCTTCTCCTTTACCTCCCACCCACGGTCCTTCCCCGATCGAGGTTTTAGGGCCCATGTGGAAGCCACTCTGGCAAGAAGGACACAGGCCTGGCGGTCTGGAGACCTAGGTTCAAATGCTGGCCCTGCCGCTGACAAACTACAGAACTTGGGGAGGGCTTCTCATCTCTGGGCCTCAGCTTCCCCACTAGTTCAGTGAGAGTGACACTAGAGAGCAGAGAGGCCCAGTTCACTTCTGATCTGGAATTCAGCCTGGCTGGGCGCCACCTCCTGGAGCGCAGGGCTGAATTTGGAGAGTGTCACCAGGTCCCATACTCACACCATCACCCATCAGTGGGCCACTTAAGTCAAGCTGAAGGATGCAGTCCTCCCTGTGCCCCCTGCAGTCCCAGCTCTGCCTGTCATCTCCCACCCCTGCAGAAGTGAAGGAGAAGGACCCCCTCCACCTCACACGGGGGAACCCCAAGCCACGCTGCAGAACCTGTTTGTGAACCCGGGACAATGCTTTCCTACCTCCTGAGGGAGCAGGAGGCCTCTGGGCTCCTCACGTTGGTCAGGGAGACTGTCCTGGCAGGTGGGAGGGATCGAGTCCTCTCCCCTGTCCCAGGGAGGAGCCCTGTTTTTATTGTCATACCATTCTTCCTTTCTCCCAGGGACAGGGAGGAAACTGGTTGTCAGGACTGAGTCACTTGATTCTGCCCCAACATTATGCCTCTGTGGAAAAAAATCAGACCACGAAATGGGCCTGAAATTCAGTGTTTACCACGGCTCAGGGACACCCAACTGGTGCCCAGTGCCTTTTGTTTTCAAATGAAAATGTTTGTACAGCTGAGGAGTTACAGTAAAGTGTTAACCAGGGGTCCAGGGAGTGAGTCGAGAAGATGGAGTGAGTGTATTTGAAGCCGGGGGCTGCAGAGTCGGATTTCAGGGGGGGTCACACCCTCTGAGCACTTAAAAAGAGGGGATTAGCTCCCACCTGAGCCCGAAAGCTGCCTCCCTCCCGCCCACAGCAGCCATGCCTGGCCAGGGGCCGTGAGCACCTCCCCCCCTCTGGGAATGCCACTGGGGGGGCCTTGCCCAGCTGTTCCCTGCTTTCTCCGCGGTGTCAAGGTGAGCTGGAGTGGCCCTGGCTGAAGGCGCTGCGTCCCCAGGAGAAGCTGTTACTGTCAGTCATCCTAGTGCGGCTAAAGATAATGTTCACAGTGGTGGGCAGTGTGCTTGTCTCGGCTGCCAGGACCAGGCCCCAACCCTTCCAGGGACCTGTCCCCACAGTGGGACATTGGCCCCAGGATGCCCAGGGCCTGCCAACTATGCTGCAATGGTGGGGGAAGCCCATACCCTAAAAAGAACCCAGACTCCAGGCTGCCAAAGGCCAGGGCCTTCCACGGGCCAACAGGAGATGGGCTATCACCCCAAAGTGACCTTCTCAGTGGGCTTGTCCAGCTGGCAGCCATTGCCCTGCCATCTGTGCAGAACTGGCCACCATGGGGGCTGGGCCCTCTGCCTGAGGCAGCCCCTCTGCACCCCCCCCCCCC